GTGTGTCTGTGTGTGTGTGTGTCTGTGTGTGTGTGTCTGTGTGTGTGTGTGTGTCTGTGTGTGTGTGTGTGTGTCTGTGTGTGTGTGTGTCTGTGTGTGTGTGTGTCTGTGTGTGTGTGTGTCTGTGTGTGTGTGTCTGTGTGTGTGTGTGTCTGTGTGTGTGTGTCTGTGTGTGTGTCTCTGTGTGTGTCTGTGTGTGTGTGTGTGTGTGTCTGTGTGTGTGTGTGTCTGTGTGTCTGTGTCTGTGTGTGTCTGTGTGTGTGTGTGTCTGTGTGTGTGTCTGTGTGTGTGTGTGTGTCTGTGTCTGTGTGTGCGTGTGTGTGTGTGTGTGTGCGTGTGCGTGTGCGTGGGCGTGTGCGTGTGCGTGTGCGTGTGCGTGTGCGTGCGCGTGTGCGTGCGCGTGCGTGCGTGCGTGCGTGCGTGCGTGTGTGTTTGCTTCACGCCATCCCCTTAAGACATGGGCTAATCATGGTCTCTGTGTTACACCAAATGTCATTTGCGACACACCCTGCCACACTGACTGCCACACTGCGCCCTCACGTTGCCGGGACGGTCCCGAGAATCCAGGCCCAAGGGTATGTTTTTCACCAGGATGACGCAGCCCCTGGCACGGATTGCAGCGCAACATGCATGGGTGAAACACCCAGGCCCCCCTCCCCCCCCCCGCAAAGAACCCAAGAATTCTTAAAAGGGTTGGGAGGCTTCTGAGAACCCTTCTGCTACATGTTTCTCCTGAGTCCAAGAAGCCCGGCATTTCTAAAGACGGATCTCCAGCCTGGGCTCCGCATACCTACCCCTGGAGCGTGAGCGCGGGCGGGATGACTGGCCTGGCAAGCGATGGCCAGGCCAGAAACTTGGTCGACCCCACCAGCTAAACCTATGTTCCCCAAAACAAACATAGAACCTCGAAGGGGCCCTCTGGAAGACAATTTTCCTCCAGAGGCACCCTTTCAGGTTCCATGTTTGCTTTTGGAAGGTTAAGTCGTGTCTAGCGAAGGGCACAGGCGCTGATAAGAGCTTCGGTTTTGCGCAGGGAGTGTGGGTCCCCTTGTGTCTGGGGGAGGTATGACCGTATGACCGGGTTGTCCTCTTCACTCCTCTATCACGATTGACCCGGGCGACGGTACCAGATGTGACCAAACGTTGACCCCATACTGCCATTCAGACCCTGACAACGGCAAATATCCATGTTCAGGCAATGAAAACGGCACTTTCAGACCCTGAAACGGTTAAAAAGCATTCTCAAGCAATGAAAACAATTGTTTTCAAACAAAGAAAACCCCAGACACAACCCCACCGGTATCCCAGTATCAGATACCCCGATGCCCCCAGTATCAGATAACCCGATGCCCCCGCACCCCCGCACAGCACAGCACCGCCCCCAGCACACAGCATAGCACCTCACACAGCATATAACAAAGCAAATACAAGAAAAACAGCAAAGCAACTGCAAAAAGCAAAAACAAAAGCACCCCAGCATACAACACAGCACATAGCACAGCATACATACAAACAACAGCAAGAAAAACAACACAGACAACAACAAAAGCAAAACAAAGACAACAACAAAGACAAGAACAAAAGCATACACACAAAACAAAAACAAAGCACCCCAACAAACCCGCAATACACAAAGCACCTCCCAAGACAAATACGATAATCCATAACACAATCCCAAACGCAAAGCACCTCCCAACACGACACCAAACCCAAAGCACAAAACAAAATCCGAAGCGCCGCCCAAATCCCACACAATAATCCATAACACAACCCAAAACCATAAGAACCTCCCAACCCCACAACCCTGTCCATTCCACAACCAATATCCTAATGAGGTGTGGGGTAAGACCCTAATAGAAAAAACCAAAAACCCATAACCCCGAACTGGGGGATGTCGGACTTTCCTCATTTTGGTCACGAGCGCGCTGCTCCACTTCACTTCGGAAGGTTTCAATCTTCTCAGCCATCTCTGGCTGTTTCACTGTCTGCACAGTCTTCCACTTATCAAACTGAAACTGCGGAACGACAAAGAAGAATTTGGCTTTGCTGTCATGCTTCTTGCAAAGTGCATCCACAATCTTATACGCATGCGTCTTCTTCACGTCCATTGCCTTGCCACCGTCATTCTGGGTGATGTCATGTGTATCGGCAATCGTCAGCTGAAAAACGCCCTGTGAGGTCCATGAGTCAAAGGCAGGAAAGTTTTTGCTCTGCGGCTGGTAGTATTCGCCATCCTTGATGTCTGCTGCGGGATTGCCCGAAATCAGCACTCCTTCAAGACCACCTTGGAGTTCCTGTGTTGTATCAGACCCCTTCCCGTCAGCTGTCAAGCATCTGTCTCGGAGCTTGAACTTGCCGATGGACTTGTCCTGCATGAACTGGCGGAACTCTTCCTCAAACAATGCAAAACCGATGCCCGTAATCATCCCATCATCAATACGATCCCAAAGAGCTTGGGCTCGTTTTGCTCTGTTTCGCTTCACCAGCTCTTGCCGAACATAGGGAGACGACAACTGCACATCAAGCCAGCTAAAATTCCGCTGTGGGTGCATCTTCACCAGCAAATGCGTCATCTGGCTTATGACTTTCATGTCAGACGATACTTTCAGACATTGCAGGGCATCTCCGGACTGCACTGCCTCAACCAGCTCGGCCTTGTCATTGAATGCCGCTTCTTCATCCCTTCGCAAAACAAGCCTCGCAGTGCCACCAAAGATGCCGAAGCGTTCCTCGACAACCTCCTTATTCAGGTTGTGTAGAGCTTCACTCAAGATCTCCTTCAACGTCCATGGTGGCATAAAGAATTGTCCAACACAGTTCTTAGCCTTCTTGAAATGCTCGGTGTTGAAAGCCGCTGTCTCCGGCCTCCGCGCAGAGGTAATCCACAAAGACTGGCAAAAGACCCCATGCTCCACATCAATGTCAGCATCCATGATATACAAAGCGTTTTGAGGGATCGACTTCAAGGTCCTGACATCCACCAGCTTCGGCTCTTCGCCCTTCTTAAACCGAAAGATGTCGACCCTCTGGTGCAGCAAAACAGGGAAGTCTTAAGCGACGCCCGACTAAATATACCATAAAATTGAAGTGATCCCAGACGAGCCCAGCAAAGACATCCTATGAGGTTTTTTCTTCAACATGATGTCGGGAATCTCTTTGTAGCAGTCCCGCACGTAGAACTGCTTTTCGTCCCAAATTTCAGAGTCCTGTTCTAACTTGAAACTGCCCGTTTCCGTTCTGAGAATTTGCCCTTCCAGCTCTGCATCATCCAAAGCTCGCGCGAAGGCCTTGACATTCTCGGGAACATCGCTCTGAACCTGAAACCAAGCAAAGCAGCCACAGAAACATAAACGCTGTCTCACATCAACGAGCAACAAAACACAACGAACTCGGGCTACGACGAAAACTAATCTTTGCCAAGAAACGGGTTGTGGTTGGGCGATGCCCTTCTGAATGCGGTTGTAAAGGCTCTGGGCTATGGCAATACAGTCAGCACTGGCGGAAAACTCATTGGCTAGCGCTTTACGCAAATTCTCCCCGGAAACTTCCATGAGACCTTTGCGCCTGTACCCGGAAAGCGCATTTACCACCTTGTTGGCGATGTCTTCATCATACTCCAAATCACACATTTGCTCACGAATCCAGTTTGGCACATCCTCAGGTTGTACTTCTGACAGTTTCCGTCTCTTCGTGCTCGGGATTGCAACGGCCATGGCTGAATTAACGCACAACGGGAAGGACATAGCGCCGAACACCAGCATTGCGCAAGGCAACCATTGCTACAACAAAAGTCTTGAAAAGCAACAGCTCGTATTCCTGCAACAGCTCTTACCCCTCCTGACTTTGAATCATGATCTTACTTGAAGCATCAGCGCAGTGCAGTTTGATATTGTTGAGCCTTAACGACAGTGATGGCAAGCACTGGAAGCAACAACACATCAGCATGAACAAGCCTTACACCTTTCACAATTCGTGGCGTAAATAACCCCTCTTATCATCATCTAAATAGTAATAGTGTTGTCCTTTCTTGTCAATTTCTTCAAGTTTTGCCAGAACCAGTTTCACCTGTTTAGCGTATTTGTTGAATTTATCCATCAACTCTTTCATTTCAGTCTTGCTCTCATCTCCACTTGACATTACTATTTGTTTATTTGTTTATATTTGTTTTATTTAATTATTGATTTATGAGTTGGAGTTGATAGAAAAACTACTCTTTAAATGGTTTCGTTTCAATCCATTTCAGACATCATCGGTTTTTGCTGTTCCGTGGTGTATTCATAACATCTTTTATCATATCATTTCTATATCTTTCATCTTTTGTTGGAGGAGTAGTAGTTCGATTGAAAGCAAACGAGATGCTGTGGTCTTGACTATCCAATGCAATCCCCCCTTCATCATCCTTACTGACATTCATAGTCTTATCATTTTTAGTCAGTTTGAAACTACACGGATTACAACGACAGGTTATGCCTTTGGGGTTGATTTCATTTTTGTTCCTCAACTGTAATTTTCCCTGACATAAAGGGCAATCAAAGATAATATGTTTGCTTGTTAGTTTTTGTTCCTGACTTAAACTTACCATTTTGGGTTCATCATCAGACAGTTCAAAATCCTCTGGAATAGGTTTTTTGGATTCACTGCTTTTCTTTTTCGGAGGCATCCTTTATATTATTGATTAAATAATGAATAAAACATTTGATAAATTCCAAAATCATCTTTAATAACATGTTTATCTTACCATCTTCAACCACAGGAAATTTAGTGTCGTCGCGAATGCTCGCGAGGACTTCGTCCGAAGCGTCATCAATCAGGGTTTCTATATTCCCAATTATCTCTTCAACCATTACTATTTATAATTAGAAAATAGTTTTGCTATGTTCTAATTATACTTGCGCTTGTGTAAATGAAAGAGAACAGGGTTGGGGCGCGGGTTCTCTCAAAAGCATGGCATCAAACTACTTCAAAAGTAAGACACATATTCAACTGTTTGTTGCGGGGAACTGAATTAACTGTCCTGATGCTCGTATGGCAAGTCAATGGCAGTCTGTTCCAAATTTTGCGACCCCTTATTCCAGCAAGATAAGATATGCCACTACAATTTATATCATAACTTTATTTCTTAAATATATTATATTATGAAAAACTTGACATACCTAAGATAGAACCAATCAATGTAGAGCAGTCGAAAGGTTTGCTGTCGGCTGGAAAAGATGTCGTGCACAGAAACAAAACAGTACAGACTAAAGAGAGGGTGTCGAGCGTAAAATTAATGGTTGGGTGAGAACACAGGCCAGACACATATGCAGAGGTTTGTTTGCTGCCAAACGGGTCTTACGAGCCATTTCCTACCGGGAAAGCTTCTTAGCAGTAGTTCACGCAGCGGTCAGCGCCAGCCGCCCCCAGACCAACGAGTGGCCAGCGCAACCCAACCAGCCAGAACCTGTTCCATCATAACCGTCACCCCGCGCCAGTTGCAAGTGCTCTAAGCATAGCTCCTGGGGACCACTCGGCCGATCCAGCAGTTTCGCCGCCGCCCGGCTCAAACGTTTTGGATTCGGGGCGCCTGCCTGACAACTTGGCGGAGGGAAAGGTGTTTCCCTAAAAGTGATCCGGCTCTCTTAGATGCCACACCCTGTAATCAACCAGGGGATTTGCAAAATATTGTACCATTGGGGAGTTGGATCTTGTCTCGAGCACATCACAACGCTGTCCAGCCTCTGCGATCTCTTGCCTCGGGCGAAGCTGAAGGCGCAACCAACACGCACGCTCGCGGAGCAAGCGCCAACCGCCAACCGCCAACCGCTACTCTTGAAACCTTGGGGCTAAATAGTGCACGTTGCCCTGAAGAAGGTAAACAACTACAAAAAGATCGGTCTGGGCTCAAGGCATCCGGGGCTTGATAGCCATCACGGCCATAAACGACAGCTGGTCGCACATAGACATCCCCTCGGCCGTAACCGTCGTTGCGGCCATAGCCGGCGTCGTTTCCTGAGCATGCCGTGCAATCAGCCGCAAGATGATGAAAGCCCTTCTGCTTTTTGCTCAAGGACGCCAACCTTCTTTTTTCAGGGATCCACGTGCTTTTTCCGCAAACACCTCCATTTTGTGAACCACCGATCTCCTCAATCTCCTCTTTGAAGTAGACGCCAAGCAAAAGCTTCCCTCATCCCCGGTGCTCCGACATCCAGGTCACCAACCTAGAACCCGAAACCCTAAGCCCCCAGGGATCACTGACTGCAAGCACGCATGGTAGTTTCTTGAGGGGGCCCCATCGGAAAACCAAAACGAACAAGGCCCTTTTAGGGGGGTCCCACCCATTTCTGCAGCAGTTGCAAAAACCCAATCCCTGGCCTGCAGGGCGGCCGGCCATCCCCCAGGCCATCATCAATCCAACTCCCACCCCGCCCCCCTCAAAAAAGATATAAAAAGAGACAAGGTTTCGGCCAAAAACAAGACAGAACCTTTGAACATCCCGCGGCACCTGCCCGAACCCCGCCAAAAACAGGGCAGCCCCAAACCCTAACAAGCGAAAATGTGTGGGGAAGGGGCCTTAGCAAGTTAGCGGGGGGTTTTCGAACGCACCAAACCCGACCCGGCAACCCACCCCCCGCTTCTCTCAGCCCCGCGGCGATCGTCCCGCTCCCATGCGCTGCGGCGGCGGTCGCTGCGCCCGTTCCAGCGCTCCTATCGCGCGCTACGCAATGAGAATGTCCCCGTCGGGGTCACCCAAACAAACACCCAAAGGGAAAAGCAGAGCGCAAAACATGTGCAAAACCGCTAGAAACGGTCATGTGACATTTTCCTTGGAGAACAGCGGTTTGAAAGTAGCGGAAAGCCTGAACCCTCTTGGAGTGCCGAACGTAGGGGAACAAATCCTGGCATGCCCAATCAGGAGAGGAAGCCTCTCGCAAAAAAAAAAACAACAACACGATTTTGTGATACCAAAGTGGGCCCTCCTAGATGCCCGACTTCAACACCTGTGGTACCTCCAAAGCTGAGGGCTTGACACTCAGACCCCTCGGCTTGCTGAAGTAGAAAGCCAAAGAAAAGGGCAAAAGGGCAAAAATGCTAAAAAGATCTAAAAAGGCAAACAAGGCAAAAAGTGTGTAGGCCTGGAAGCTGTAACAATTTACAAATGCTGACGTTCCAAGAAAAGACTTCGTGGCAAATGGTATCTGGATAACCATTTGAAACGTTGACAAGCTCCATGACAATCCCATCCTCAAGGAAGTCCGTTGGACCATTGGCACAAGGGGTGTGAATTCTCGTTTAGGGACCCTGGCGGACGTGGGGCGCATGTTCATCAAGCATGTTGGAGGGAACATCCCCTGTTACTAAGGGCCCAATGAGAGAACTGGATCACCTTTGGGGGAAACAGTGACAGGCGCTGATCTGGCTTAGGGTTTTACCTTCCGATTGGGCGGCTGTCCTAAGTGCGACAGCCAAAACCACGGGGCCTCACGCTCCCGCTCGGTCTGTGGCCGCCAAGCCTGCGGAAGCCGTCCCAGCAGATGGGAATGTGGCGCTGGTTTTCCTGGGCTTCCCTTGAAGCCAAGTTGAAAAGGGTGCTTCAAACAAAGCCACTTGAAACCCACAACTTTGGACCCATTCGACAAACACGTTGCCAACAGCTTGGAAGGCTGTTGTAGTGTTGATCCACACGTTCATCCACCATGCGGGTGGTTTCTCCTAGGCTTTCCGTCCGTTTCTGGAATTGTTTCAAAAAACTGCGGGTGGCTCCTGTGCCAAACCCGGAAACTTCCGAAATCCCATTGTTTGAGATGTCCAGATGTGCCTTTCGCTCAATCGAAGGGCTCCAGCACACTCGTGCCCTATGGTTCGTTGTGTTGCGACCTTTTTGCCAGCGAATGTCACATTCAGGTTGGCAAGCGTCGGCTGGGATCTTAAGCTCGAGTTCCTCTGGCTGTCAGGAGAAGGAATTTGGCCGTGCTCCTTTTTGCCAAGAGTATCGTTCAACAGTGTTCGAAAGGGAAACCTAACGGAAACCACGCATGCTGGGGAGTCCTACTTTTGGAGAAGGGGGAAACCAAAGGACCATCCGCCCCCACTGCCGGGACTAGCTCGAAAAAAGGCAAATGGCAATGTCGGGTTTTGAGGGTTCCCTATGTTTGGGGTGAAAGCCGAAGAAAGCCGAAGCCGGATGCCTTGTCCTGAATTGCAAAGGGCCGCCAGCGTTCAACACGTGTCTACTGCAAGCATCACCGGAAGCTCTCTTCGAGTTGGTCGCAAATGTTTGTGTGAGTGTGCGTGTGATCACCGCCAAAGCGGAAATATAGAAACCCGAGAGCCCCCCACTTACCTGGACTGGGCGCCCCGTCTTGCCGCGGCGGGTCCCGTGCCTCCCAGGAGTTGCTTCCTGCAACCCGCGCCGGTCACACGCGCAGCATATCGCATACGCAGCGCTGGGAGGGAGGATCCCTCCGCTTGAATGAGAGCGGGGGTGGGTGGGGGCTCCCAATTCCAGTTGCCCAGTCTTCCCCAAGCGGAAAATGGTATTCCAAAAAACCTGTCCCCTTCGCCGATTCCCACAATTCCCATTGCGGGGGCGGGGATTGGGGGGAACCCTCTCAAAAACTGATCGATTCAACGTGTGCCCAGCCGCAAGCGAAAAGGTTGCACGAATCACAGGCAGGGAAAGTGCCGACCCATTCAGAGTTACAAAAACCCGGCAAAACTGGGTTGGTGGATAACACAATGCTTTATTGATTTGTTTTAGTGTCCTTTGGGTGGGTGAAATGGGGTTGTGGGCTTCCTAACTCCAACAGTGCTAATTATGAGGGGGCCAAGGACAATTGAGAGTCAACTTCCCATGGCCCTTGCCACGGCGAGTGCCCGTGCCCGCCTTCGTACTGCCAGGAGTTGTACTTGTCGGATGTCTCGGTCTTTTCCCAGCTTCGGCCTCGGCACTCAATGACTCAAGCCCCAGAGACAAATCCAATTGGACGCACACTCCCAGGACCTGATGTGACCACTGATTTGTCAAAATGGATGGCTTTCTTGTGGGGTCCCTTTAACTTTTTTGAGAAACCTCCATACAGTTGGGAGCCATTAGGGTGACGCTGGCCCCTCGCGTGGACATCAGAAAGACATGATTGATTCTCACCCTCCCATATTGGAGGATGTTCCAGCCGCGTCATTCCATCAGCCAACTCTGGGTCGATTGAAAGGCGGCGAGTTCCCCAACAGAAAAAGGAAACGAACCATGTTGGATGAGTCACGTTCAGGTGGATTATGTAAGAAACTCTGGATGAAAGCTGAAGGTTCCAAAGGTTCAATTTGGGCAAAATGGCGATGAGTTGTACAGCTTCCCATGTTGGCCAGCTCAAACATCATTTTGTTGGTCGTTTGCCAGTTGCTTTTTCGTGTGGGGTAACGTTAAACGGGGCGTCAACGAAGACATTGGGTCTTGCTGCGAAGCCTAACTTAGAATCCCCTGCCCCGGCCACTTAGGACGATGGACGTGCAGATCAACCGCCAATTGTCTTCCGTCACAAGGTGGGTGCAGGGTCCAATGTTTGATCATTTCCCTGTGCCATTCCTCTTACCAAGACTCTGCGAGGGCTCACAACGTGGCTTCCATTTACTTCCGGGCGCAGCTCGGTGCGGCTCCAGCCAATCTAAATATCCCACAGTCAGAATCCCCTTGGCCAACCATCCGAAGGATTCGCCTTCAAAAGTGGAAGTGCTGCGCGGATCAAAAGACTCACTGTTGAAAATGCTGCTAGACCGTAAGCATGAAATCAACAAACTGACACACGCCTCTACATGTCCCGTTGAAGCGTCATTCCTCTGAAACATCGCTCGGTGATGCAAAAGGAGGCACCCTCGAGCCCAAACCAACCTTTGACCCCATCGGATCGAAGCGCCTTCGCTCCAGTTCGCCTTGCCCGACTTCCAGTCCTGGCCTCGAACACGCGTCAAAACGCCGACAAAACACCACTTGCTGGTAGACAAACTGGATCTTCCTTTCTTCGGGATGAGGTCCATCTTTCGTGCAAACCAAAATGGAATGAAAAAGCATAGGGGTTCGGGCTTCCTGGAATCAAAAAACAAAACAAAACGCAAATATAAGCCTGCCCGCGCCTGAAGAACGAGGCTTCCATTCGTCCTCGCCCCACTTGCTGCCTGACACGGCCACGGGCATGCGGAGCCAAAGCCGGTTGGACTTTGTGAGAATTCACCGCTTCTGCGGAACCGCCTTAGCCAAGTTGCCAGTTACTGCTTTGTTCTAGGCACTGTGCCTTACCAGTCATAGCTGGATAAAACAGCGGGTGAAAGAGAAACCCCGAAAAGCAAGCTTGAGAACCCGCACAATGCAACTCCCAGTGATGCCACCGGGAAATCGTTGATGTCCTTTCCAATGGCTGCCTGTCTCCTACTGAAATGGATGTTTCTTGGCACCAGAGTAAGGAGTTTTCCCGGTTCAAAGGGCGTTCCCGCAGTTCCAACTTATTCTCTGCAGTGTCAAATGCCGACCTTCCCCCACCCGGAGCGGATGCCCGGCCTGACCAATCCTTCTGCGCACCTGCGCCTCCTGCGCTGCCCGCGCACCCAACCGGATCTATCAAAAGGGACCGAGTCTTCCAGGCGGATTGCCTGCTGATTTCCCTGAAACCACCGGATCAAAATATGGGACCCCAATTTTGAGAATCACCCAACTGAAAAGGGAGCACGTTCATTGTACTTTTCAGACGATTTGACAAGATCCCGATCTGTTGCCCGCACTGGCAATACGTGGAAACCCTCGTGAGGGAACCCTTTGCCGGGTTTCGGCAAAATGGAAACAAAGGCGCCCTTGTTCTTTGTGGAAATTTCGAGCTTGTTCCCCATGCGCCGAGCCGTTTTGGCATGAGACAAACCGAACAAAAACCACTTGAAGGGCCCAAAAATCAAAAGGCTGTCAAGACAACACACATGAAAAGCAAAGGGGCAGAGAGCTCCTACAAGGGGCCAGTCTCTCCGAAACCACCTCGTCCTGGCCTGTCCAAGAATCTTTCCACTCGGTCTTCCAGGCATCCGCCTTCCACTCGGATTTTGCCGGCTTCTTCCACTCCGGCTTCTCCTCCTTCCAGCTGCTCTTCCAGCCTCATTTACGGAAAGTGTACAACTGAGCGTTGGTTCGTAGGGGGAAAGACACACACTGAAACAAACCCATCCTTTCCCCAAAGAGAACGCATGGACCTGTCTTCGGCTTGCGGACAAATCACGCACATAGTCCCAAAAAGAAAAGAAGGTCAAAGATGAATCGCGGCCAAGGAGCTGTCCTTTTCCTTCTCTTTCCAGCTGCTCTTCCAGCTCCCTGAAGCCGCCACGTGGCAACCCTAGGTGACACAGAAACCAGGCCCAAAATAGCGCTTCTTTCCAACCCAAAGCTGTTTTCTGACCGTCTTGCATTTTGGTTTTTGGGGCCCAAGACACCGGAGAGGGGTTGGAAAAAGCAGGCCCCCAAAAAATCGGCGCCTATGTTTGGCTCCAATGCAAGCTCAGCTCAGTCTCTGCGGAACCCAAAGAACAACATTCAACGGAAACCCGTTAGCATGCAGAAATGCCGCATCAACAGGGGAACCACTCCTGAGCAGCGCGGCCCTCCTGATTAATCCGCAAGGCCTGCGCTCTTCTGATACGAGTCCTCGTTCCAGGACTGCCCTTTGCCTGGCTTCGACATTTGTACAAATGGGACTTCAAGGCTTACCAAGACAACTGGGAATTACACTTCCCCCCTCACTTTTGTCTACATCTCTTGCTATGTATATATATATATATATATACACATATGTGCGCGCCCTCTTTTAGAGGCGCGCAACTACCCCAAGCCCTCTTTCGGATGAAAGGAAGTGGCTCCATCTCCTTGTGCAGGAAGGAGGGCCACAATGGGGGCAGGAACTGCGCCATCTACACAATCACAAGACCGCAACTTCGCCAGGCCGACTTTTGTCCGACTTCTTCTCCCAGCCATTCTCCTCCTTGGCCTTGCCCTTGCCCTGCGACCGGCCAAAAGACAAGCGATTCCTTCCCGCCTTTGATTTAAAAAACGAAAAGACTAGCCTATTGGGCATGGTCTTGTTGAGGGAACCCCCCGCTTCCTTGGTTTGAAGAGAAACCAAAGGAAAACCCATCATTAGGGGTATCTCAAGATCGATGCCAAATGGTGTCGGGTCTGCTTTCAGCCTCCCTCAACGGGGTGCCCTTTGAGACGGATCAGGGGAAGCCAAATACAATCTTTGGATTAGGACATTGGTCATGGGAACCCACAAGACACCACGATATAATTTGCTTCCCGGCGCTTCCAGGCAAGCCACTATGGAAGATACAGAATGAGAAGATAAGAGGTGGAAACCATCATGTACAACCTAACCTGCTGAAAAGATGAAGGACCCTGATTCGCCCGGGTTGAAGGTCACATTAGCGGAACCCTTACGGGAATGCAACTTTTGGCGGCCAAGAGCACAGGGAAGCGTCTCCATAAGCCTTTGTTTCTCGTTTTTTGTGTTTTTTTTCCTCCCCGGGTAACGGGAATGCACTCCGCCGCACCCCTCTCGGTGAGCGCTTCTGGTTCCAGCCAAGAGGCTGTGAACATGGCTCACCCAGTTTCGACCGGCAACCCAGAAGGTGCCAAAACCTTTGGAACCTTGCTGGCCAATCCGATTTTCCATAACCCCTTTTGGGAACCACTGCGAAGAGGACCAAATCTTTTCGCAACCCAGGGATTAAGGATCTTAAGGCTTGCCTTTGAACAGACCAGACAACTTTCTGAGGTTGACCACTTTCAGTTGGGGAATCTGAACTGAGCAGGTTGGCCCAGGTCGGGGGTCGGGAACAAATGGGCGATTTAGAAGGCAGGAACATTTTTGGCAAGGGACCTTCTTTAACTTCTCGAAACCGATTTGGGCGAGCGGCACTGAAACGCTGACCCGGCGCTGTGCCTTGGCCGGCAGGTAGTCCTTCTCGATCAGCTCTTCCAGGCTCATGTCCTGTGATCTTAGCCCTCTTTTTGGGGGCTCGCATCAGGGGAAGCAAGCCGCAATTTCACATACTGAGCCATAACTTGGCAGCCATAACCCATTAAGGACCAAGGGTCGGAACCTTCTTTTGAAGCTCCCTACGAGTTGGTTGGCTCCACATTTGAAAATTGGGGATGCCCAAGCCCCACCAAGACCCCACGCTTGCTGTTCTTTGCCATCCAGTGCCAAATCTGCCAAGGACATGGGAGCGAACCAAAAACGGGTAACCATTGCTGGGCGTCAGCAATACGTGTTCTCCCTCCAACATTCATGATTCATGGCCATATAAGGCTTCGTCTTCACACGTGGGACCGCCATAGGGGAGGCTCCCGTTGATTTCCCTTCAAAATCAGCCACAAAAGGTCCTTCCCCGCGTTTGAGGAACAAAAACGGTTTTAGAAAATGCCCGGGTGTGGCTTTGGGCAATGCCCAACGATCGCGCACCGAATCAGAGCCGGTCCAGACTCACCGCTTCCTCCTCCTTGGCCTTCTCAGCATCTCGCCTGCCTGGAAGCAGAAGATGCAGGACAAGTAGAAAATAGTGAGAGAGAGAGAGAGAGAGCGAGAGAGAGAGAGAGAGAGAGAGACAGCGGGGCCCCAAACGATTCTCCCCCATGGTTTAAAACTCAGCACCTTCTGGCCTCTCTCTACATGGCACCCATGATGCCGGACACGGACTTGTTGCACAGTTGAAAGACATGGGAATTGCCAAGCAAACAAAATTGAGACACCCCAAACTTGAAGGTCCGGGATTCAAACTTGAGACTCTCAATTTACGACCCACCCGTCAGCTGCCTCTTCCCTTGCCGGATCCGCCCTTCGAGGCTTTGATCACCTGTGCGTATTTTCAGCTGCGTCCGTGTCAGACATCCAAAAACCATCTGCGTTGCTTTCTGACTGGCCTTTGGGGTTGCTTGGGGCAAGCAAATGGCTCTGAGAAGCAGCAAGAGGCATTCCCAACTTCACACACTCCCACTAGAATGCACCAGCATGGCGCGCCTCTTCCAGTGAAAGATCCAAAGATGGCGGGCCCATCTTTCACCTGAATCACTGCCATGGCCGGAACCAAGTCTGGCTGAGCAGTGGGCACCCCAACAAGTGCCCTAGTCCTTTGTGGGTTGATAAGGGCTGTCATTTGTTGACTTTGTTAATCCGGGGTCCCACCATGTAATGCCAGCCCTCGTAGTCTGGCAGTCCCCCATGGCTCTCACCAACCTGCGACACCCGCTCAGCTGGTCCAGCCTCATCAACGGCCAGTTGCGTCTTTGGCAAAGCTGAGCCAAATGCACCCGGTCACCAGGTAGCGCGGCTTTGATTGATCCCATATTGCAGGTGGCCGATCAATGCACGGCAGAGTTGGCAAGGCCATTCTGATCACGTCCTCCGGTATTGCCATCATTCCAACTCATTACAGTATGTGGTTAGACCCCTGGTTCATAAGTGGCTTCAAGGGGTATGTGGGGAAATCCTACCCGCGAACAAGACTCCAGTAGCGCGAATCGCACTCAGTTGACTCTCCAACATCAGAAATTGCACCTGCCACTCGCAATGAAACAGCACGTGGATCCCCCATCACTCCAACATGCCGCACATAACAGCATGGAAAGCACGCCTATATTGAAAAGCATGCTTGGCGTGCGTGTCGTACCGACAGCGACAAAAGAAACAAATGACAAATGCAGAGAAATACGTAGTGGCTGACTGGAAATCAAGCAAAACTAGGATGGAAAAAAAATCCAGTAGGAAATCAAGCAATCAGGAAGGGACAAGCAAATCAAGGCTGGTTCGAACTGTACTTGGGCCAATGTCAAGCCCTAAACCAGAAACTTAACCTTTCCTACCATCCTTTTTGATAAAGGACACAAATGCCTTGAGAACTGCAAGATAGGCTTCCAACCCAAGGGAAAATGAAGAGGTGCCTCCGCATGCCAATCCCTCAAGTTGCAAATAGTACTTGAGTGTCCACAATACACCATACGGATTGCCACCCCCCCCTCCGATTCAACTTCTGATTTGTCTCCAATCTGGACAACGAGGATGGTGGCTGTCCCTTGGCAACAAGACAAAGCAGCACACAAAAAAGCGTACCTTCGGACACCCCCATACCCAGCTGATGCAGCTATCAATCTAGCAGGCAACTAGAAGACTCCCTCTGTGCTTTGTCCGGTACCTGCGGAATATGTGGACTATGGGCCATATGGGCCGGGGCTTACCCAGTCTCCCTGAAATGGCTGGTTTCCTTTCGCCCGCGTTGAAAACCAACCAACAGGCATGTCCGCCGCTTCGAGGCGGGCCCTCCCCAGCAAACCAGTTGAGCAGAAGCTATGGGAAAAGAAAGAAAGAAAAGGGGTTTGGCATCCGTAAGGGATTTAAAAAAAAATGGGGGCTTTAAAAACCGGCCTGTGGCTCGCCCAGTGCCAGCTCCATGCCTTGATCTGGGCAAATTTTCAGGGGTTGGCACTAAGGGCCTTAGGGTTTCTTTCAGCTGAACCAAGTGGAAGCTGGTGGTTTTAATCCCACCACAAGTTTTGCTTCATGCCAACCTGGGGAGAGATCCCACGATGATGGAAGTCCTCCAAATGTTTGGGTCGAGACCCCCTTGACTTTGGGTTCCGAGATGGTAAAGTTTAAGGCCTCAACCCCACAAAACCAATCAGAACCAAACCTACCAAGATGGCCAATTGTTTTTTGGAGATGTTCCCAAGACCCCTTGCAAAGCAATGGAACCCCCGGAGCAGTCGAACTTCTAGGGGAAACTCCTTTTAGGGATTGGGGCATGTTAAGCAGCGGAGTATGGACGTAATCCTCAATGGCACCAATCGGGGGAGGCAAATGCCAAAAGTGGTGGCAGTGAAAACGCTCGCAGGGATCGATCTCAGCTATCGCAAAGCCGCACGTTGGCCCAACAAATGTGCCGCTGGTCCATATTTGTTTGCTTTCAACCGAGTGCCGGTCAAAACCTTGCACAGAAGGGGTGCATATACCCAAACAAATGCAACTAAAGCGGCCGCACCTGTTCATTACTCCTTCATCTACCCAGGTTTTGATTGCCACCCATATTTCTTTGTTGGCACCTTCCGGACGACAGGAGCCGATTCCCTAAATGGATGGGCTTCTCATAGGTTCCCTTGAAACCGACCCAAAGAGGTACTCGACGGTTCTGTGGTCAAAACTGCGGTCATGTACCTTGAATTGAAACAGGCGCAAATGAAGAGGACAAGGCCCCCAAAAGAAAACTTGACATGATACCTAACGAAGGGCAAGCCAACGTGAAACTTGCCGGGTCACTAGTTGTTTTGAGCATATCCTACCGTCAGAGGAACCCTCGTGGGGCAGGGTATGGCACTGACTGCTGGACTGCTGCCGGGGTGCGGCCAATGCTGTCCCGCAGCTGCAGGTTGCGCCTGAATCGGCAGTTGGCAAACCTGACGGGGGAGGGGTTGCCCCTGCAGTGGGGAAACTGTCCAACCTTGCGAGGGCAGAAAAGCGCTCGCGCTCCAGCTGATCTGCATGCCTCTAGGCCACACTTGAGGGAAGCCTAGCGCCATGTTGAAATATAGCTTTCCTCAGTGTCAGTGTGGCTGCCTTTTTTCAGGCTCGAAACCCTTGTTTGGCGTTTGCTTGCTTCGAGGAAACCATTTCTTTGGGGGTGTCTTTGCTTTGCGGACCCCCAAACTGGTGGTGTTTTTTTGTTGTTGTTATTGTTGTTGTTGTTGTTTTTGGGTTGATGTCCCTTTAAAGAACCACAAACGCGTACCCTCAATTCAGCTTGTTGCGCCTCAGGAGCTCAGCAATCTCGGCTTCCAACTGGGCGTTCTCCTCGAGGCGAATGGCTTGCCGGCTCCATTCGAACCCGGCACCAGGCTTCTTGTTTTGTGAGGTCCAGTGTACCCTCCTGCCCACTGACATGGAACCTGACTGAGCGGTTCTGGAAGACGAATTTGCTTCAAAAGGGACCCTCTGATTGGTTCCATGTTCGTGGACAGAGGGTGTCCTTTTTGGTCAGTGCTCACGGAGCCGAACCATGGAGAGAAAACACACATTTTTGAGGTCCGCCTACATCACACAGACACCTCGCTGGAACCCTGGTAAAGAGTGGACACATCGGATCTGTTCTGCCACCACCTTTTTGCATTTTGCTGGGTGTTCGGTTTCGGGGAGTTGGGTAGGTTTTAGTGCCACAAAAGAGGCTTCAAGTGTCCATGGCACCCAACCCCAACCCCCCTCAACCACCCCTGAGCGCCCTGAGCGCCCTGATTTGTACCCTCACCCCTTCTGGGAGGTGCACTGGTCCCTTCCTGTGATAGCCAAGTTGTTGATTCGCATATCTTATTGCTTTCAAGCTCATCCCATTGATATCACAAAAGTAGCAGCCTAAAAACCAGTTCCCCCACCACCCCCCAACCTCAACCACAAAGGACACAGGTTTTATCTTTTTGGCTTCCCTGAATCCACAAAAAAAAAAAAAACAGACTATCCGACGCCATCCCCATTTTGTGATGTCACAAACCTACCAACATCCCCCCCCCCTATTTCGCAGCTTCCCCCAAAGGAAAACCGCGCATTTTGGTGGGGTTGGACGAGCCGTGGCAGCTCGACCTGCTCCAGGGAGTCGTTGAGCCGCTTGGTGGCTTCCACCTCGGAGATCTTCACGAAGCCCTGGCCTCGAGCCGAGGGAAACGAGGGAAACCGGCCCAAAACACACGGAGTTCCACGGATGCTTGATGGGTGTTTGATGGGTTGTTTAAGGGCTTTCGGATGGGTTTGCTGTGGGTGTCCTGTGGGTTTCCTGTGGCTTTCCTGCGGGGTCCCAGTTTTGCACAGGTTTGGAAATGAGGAACCCACATACACGAAACAAACCAAGGAGTGTGCCTCTATTTGTCTTGAGGCGAAGGGTAGCTCCCGTTTCTAAGGCCAAATGCTGGTTTCAATCCCTGGCTGCAACCCAGAGAACAGGCATTTACAACCGTGGGGTTTGGCTGGGATGCAACCATGGCTGCTCACCACTGCGCGCCTCATTAAAAGAGCCCTTCGGGCCTTGAAGATATGAATTCCCTTGAAAACCATCAAAAAACACACCTCGATGTCACACGGATGTTGACAGCTTTCGCCGCCCAAGCCCCTTCCCCACCCGCTATGCTTCGGGCTCAGGGCCCGTGACCGCTCACCGGAGGCACTGGGCGGTCGGGAGTCTGCGGGCGCGGCAGGCATGGACCTCCGGACCGGGGCTGCAGCGTTCTTTCCTCACGCAATGGAAATCTTCCTTCGGTGATATGGGTCATTTCCACGACTGTAATTATATGGGGTCCCCTTGGTATCACAGAAAGTGGCTGTTGAAGGAAACTTCGGGGACCCAAGGCAACGGCCGTTTTGAATCTGTTGAGCCTATCTCACAAAGTATGTGTTTTGGAGGTAACGTTAGCTCAAGAGACCGCTTTTTGGGGGTTCATGTCAAGTTTGCAAGGGAGGTTGGTGGATTGTCATGTTGTTGGACCCAGAAGCGTCAACCTCAGCCCCCCTGCGGCGGCTCACTGGAGACAATCCTCAGCGGAAAGCACGCGCGGATTCCGAACGCCTGCCCACCGAGGTCCCATGCTCCAAATCAACAAATATCTGCAAGTTTTACTATAACTCCCAAATCTGAAATACGAATGAATTGCGGCGAGTTTGTCTTATGAACCAATGAGCTCGCCATGAAATAGACAGAAAAATGATTGCAGGCCCTTTTTCAAGTGAAGAATTGTGATCCCCATGTGGCAAGGTGAACTTACCCCCTTTCCAACGATCATAGAAGTAGCAGGGCACCTTTTGAAATGATGAATGATGATTGTCGTCCACAGCCCTCGTGTACACTGCCAGAACTGTTGGACCAACTTTGGGGGAACCGAACTTGGACCCTCAAGTGGCTGATTTAAGGCCGTTGCAAGTTTTGCCGGTCGTGCCGGTCAGCTTGCAGTGCCGGAGTCGCCGGAGTCACATCGAATGCCGGCCTAAAAACGGGGTGAAGGATTGCCCATAGACCTGATCATCGCGATGCTCGAAACTTCCCCATTAATGAACAGCTAGGGAAACCAAACCAATTGCCTGCCCTGCTGTTTTGGTAACCCCGCAATTATGCAGCATGCTTCTTTTTGGCAGTCTGCCGTGCATATGTCCCAAAGCCCGTAGGCCTATGGGTGCCGTGCATGCTTGTTTGGGAAGGGCCAATAAGCACGGATAGAACCACAGGGGTAGGGCGATTTGTTCGTTGGTGGTCATCCAGATCCAGGCAGCCTGGCGATTGAACGGAGGCTTGGACCCAAAACGGGAAGATGCCTTTCCCTAACGGATACTTGTGTGCATGCGTTGTACCAGCCTCAAGAAGCTGGGCTTGTCGGATTGACCGCCCTGGCCAGAGGCAACGGAACTGCCCGAGTTTTGAGACTCATACCCGCGAGGGGAGAGCCAAAGCTCTTTGAAAAGGCCCCAAACGTGCACTTTCGTGATTGTTGGAAGGGGGTTCACCCCTTTTTGGGGCTTCTTTGGGGAAACCTCTAGAAATCAGTTGGATGCGCTGTTGTAGATTACTTCTTGCAGCATACTAGAAGGGCACAGAAGAGTACACAAAAGAGCCAACAGGTGGCAGAAAAGGTGGATTCCGCAAAACACATACGAATCCGCACCATTTGCCAAGACGAATGCCACAGAAACTACACACGGGTGCGTCGTTTTGGGGGAACTCGCTCTGGTTGGCTGTAAAAGGACGGCAAAACGAAGCCAACCATTTGCGGCTTCCCATTCAGCGCATACGGTGGGGCCCCCCCCTTTTTGACACATTTGATGTTTTCCCTTTAAGGTATACCTGCCAAAAGAAAAACCTGTTGAAGGGTCCCTAGTTTAGACATATAGCCATGTGCGTGACATGACATGCGAAGCAGTCCGGCCTGCATCCTTACAGCGCATTGCGCCGATCGGCACTAAGATTTGACAATGGTGGAGTGCGTTAAACTCACACCAATGCCACGTCTGCTGTGAACAAACCATCTGCTCCACTTCTGAGAGCATGCACGCATGTGTCGGGCGGGGCTGTTTGTTCTGCCCAAGCTGTGACTTTCTCATATTGGTTGCTTGCCAGAAGGCACAGCACCAGGATCATGAGAGTATTCAGTCGACCTCGGTTTTGATTTCCCGGGTTGCCCATGGATGGAAGGCATTGTCAAAGCATATCAGGGCAATGGATGCCCAGAAATCTGTTGGAACCCCGCTATACACTGTCAATGCACCAGCTGGCTCGGCCCGCAAGCGCGCCGGCAATCTCATCGGACTGAAAAGGCTTGGGTTGGGAACATTAGACGTCCCGAAGGATAAATAAGGAACTGCTGACCGAACCTGATGACATCCTGCAGCTACATGCGTTTCAACACCTGGCCCCTGGTCCCTTGTGAAGGGGCACCAGTCGGTGGTTTCGAGACACCGCAGGGGTGTCTCAAAACAACCCCATACCTTCGATAAAGGACGCGCCCACATCCTGCAGCACCGCAGCATTTGTCTTGCACGATGGGTCTGAGCTGAAGATCCCAGCTGCAATTCACTCGCAGTTCGAATCCCTGCCTCTTCGCACAGGGTCCCCATGTTCCCGGCCCAACATCACTACAAAGCCAACATCAAACGCTGATGTTCAAAACTGCAAAGAAAAAAGATAGATTCCCTCTCTCCAAGAATCATGGAAGCGCACTGGTTCCTGGTGTAAGGCTGATTTCCTTCCGGACCTTTCCACTTCCATGCTTGGAAAGAAGGTTAGGATACCCGCAACGCGAAGGGAAAAAATTATTTGGGGGCACAGGCCGCTCAGCTCTTGTCTGTCTGCGCCAGGATGGCATCCTATGGATCTGACCCAAAGTTGTCACCGCACAAAGGCGGGTTCACAGGAAAAATTAAGTAAATCCAAAAGGGCCTTTGGGGTGAAGGGCCCTTTCGCGCCTTGGTTTTCAAGGCAAACCCACCAGAAACCAAGAGTTTTCGAAAATTGGCAAAAAAGCAAAGTGGGTTAACCCGGCCATGCATCGATGACCTTGCTGATGCACTTGGCCACGGGGCCGTCAGGCTGCAACTGAGCCAATGGCATGCCCGCGTCCCCGGCAGCCGCCACGCGCCCGTCCAGAGGCACGCTGCCAAGGAAAGGAACCTAAGATGTCTCTAATGAAACAGGCGTTCAAAATTTGAAGCACCAGGATTTGGCGTCAGTCAGGGGCTTCTATTTCAGGGTGGATGGGTGACAAGTCAAATCAACTGAGGAGCCTCCATCTGTTGGCACATGGCTTGTGCCCCTCCTGTGGATGGTGCGAAAATCTTCTCTTCGTGACCGCAGGAGGGGCACGCGTACCCGCTCATGTTCTCGACCACTCCCAAAACTGGCAAGTCCACCCTGCGGCAAAAGTTGATCTCCTTCCGTCGGGCAACATTTGTGGTTTTTCCATCTGGATTATATCCCATTTAAAAGGGGAAACAACGGAAGGTTGTGAAAAAACAACATCGTGGTTGAACACATTCACTCATGTCTAAATATGTTAAACATGTTAAAACATAAACATGTTTGAACATTGAACATGTGGCCCAAGCACTTCTCCTTCCGGACGTCCATGAGGCTTACTTCCTGGGGCGTGGTCACTATGATGGCACCATCAATCTTCGCATCCTTGAGGTAGGTCACAATCGACAAGTGTTCATCTGAGGTGCCTGGGGGAGTGTCAATGATGAGTGCGTCAAGGTCGCCCCAGGTGACGTCCGTCAGGAATTGCTTGATGAGACCATTCTTCCGCGGCCCACGCCAAATGATGGCATCGTCCTAGTCTTGGCATCCCTTCTTAAGTGGCGGCACCTGTTTGGGGACTTGGTGCAGGATCAAGGGCACGTCAACAGGGACCAATTACCACCCCCTCGTTGCAAAATCTCAGCCCGGGTCCTGGTTGGGAAGCATGAAGCCAATTGACATCACTGCCAAGTGGTCGTCCACATAGATGGGCGACCAGCCCTCGCTGCTTTGATGCACATCTTGGCCTAGAAGCCCCAGCATGCGCGGCACGGATGGGCCGCCTTGGTCTTTACCCCCCCCCCCCGGTGCAATAAGCGATTGCAGTCGTTCTCATTATTTCTGGGTGGTGAAGAAGCTTTTTTCCCAGTGAGGAAACGGAAAAAAAAATTGTTAAAGGTCAACCAAAGGATAGATGTCGTTTCCAATAGAATCAATGAAAAATGTGTTTGTTTGTTTTCTTTTTTTCAAAAATGTAGGAAGAACAATAAGAAGCAATTAGAAGCGTGAAGGTTCAAGGTCGTACCAAAAGTCAAGCCGCAAATGTCCACATCGAGCAAGCCCACGTCCATGCTGCGGGCCGAGAAACCGAAAGAGAGCTGGGCAGAGATGGTGCTCTTGCCCACCCCGCCCTTTCCGGACAAAACCTTGGCCAAATGGAACCCCAAGGGCTCCACCAACTCAGTTGCCCAGACCCAGAAATACAAGGTTAACCTTGGGCCATGACCAAAAATAGACCGAAAAATGGAAACCACAAGGTCAAAAGGTCGATTCGCTTTGGGCAAGTGAGCCAAACAAAGGCTCCTCTAAAACTGAGTCTTTGTTCCCCACAGCTGAAGGCTTTGGGGCCTCTGCCCCTGTAGGCTCCAGAGCAGCTTTAGAATTGCAGGGGGCTTCCAGAAGGTTCCCCAGGTGTCGGGCACCATGGCCAAAAGAATCAACGCCCGTCAAAAGGGGAAATGACAGAATTCCGATGGGAACTCCAAGCCAAGAGTCTCGAGCCAACATGTTTGGCCTTTGCAACCGCGGGCCTTGCGGTCTTTGGAGGAAACCGATTTGGAAAGGCGGGATTCCTTCCGATCCTAGCAGCTAGGATCTTGCGCTTCACCCCAGCCAGGCGGTCCTGTACATCCGCCAGCGCCGGGTCCTTCTTTTTCGCCTCCCCAGAGGCGCACATGGCCTCAGGGATTTTTGGGGTCTGGATTCAGGCTGCTGGGCTTTCTCTTCGCTCGTGGCTTTTCCTTAGTTTGTCCCTGGTTTACCCTTCTTTGCGCCGTTTTTGGCTCATCCTTTTTTCAGGAAGTTGCTTTTTCCTCGAAGAGCTCAAAGTTTCTCACTTGCTGGGCCAACCCTAAACCCTAAACCCCTCTTCGAGAAGAACCTACCAAGGCTTTACCTGAGGAGCAGCCCTTCCTTGACCTATGAGTCTTGTCCTATTTGTTCCTTCCCCAACCTCCCCTTTTTAAAACTCCTCCGGGCCGGATTTGATCCCCGGGTGGTGTCAAACAAGCTGCCAAATCTAAGCTCCGAACATGCATAGCCAATTTGGGAAAAATCAAAAAGGCTGAAGTCATGAGTTTCCAGGCAAAATGGGTCCGCCTGGTTGGGGCAGCCCGCGCAGGAGGCGCTCTTCCCCGCATCCTCGCTGCTGACTCCGGGGCAGCTCTCGGGGGCATCCGCCGGCCGATCCTCCGCCGCGGCAGGCGTCGGCGCCCGATCTGCTGGCCGATCCGCCGGTGGATCAGAAGGAGGGGCGGCCTGGGTCCATGAGGATTCTCATAAAGTTGTGGATTTTGATCCGAACACCAGTCGCGTCGCTTCTTAAGAAACAACCCTTGTTCATAGAAAGTGTCAACATTCGGCCCATCAAGCAGGTTGCATGTTAAGGGGATCTCCAAAGTTCCGATGGAACTTTAAGTTACGCTACTTCTGCCACCCACGTTGTGATGAAACTAGTCGATGAAACACTCTCGCAAAATGTCCCGAACCTTAGCCCAGCTGCTGGCCCGTTCGCGCCATTCACCGCCAGGGGTCCAGACTTCGTCGCCGATTCCGGCGAAGGCGGCGCCGCTTTCGCTGCTTTGAGCAGCGACCACACGGCAATGCCCGCCGCAGCCCCGAGGGAAAAGGTCAGAAGCTGAGAGCTCGACATGGCGCTCGCTCGCTGTATTGGAGGGACTGGTTCTGAATGTTCTGCGCCTATCAGAACCTATCTGAGTGGAAGTTGCCTGACGTGGATTGACATGCATACCTCGGCTCTCCGATTGAGCCACTGGCGCAAAATGAAAAAAATACAACTCAAGCCACTAACGATGGTAAGTCTTCGGTTGCCCCTCGGCCCCCAGATTGGCCCGCATTGCCTGCAGCAGCACGGTCTCGAAGTTGATGCCCTGCTGACAGCCGCGTTAAATCCAAGGTAGTTTTCTCTTGCTCCCCCGCATGTTGTTTTGCCGCCTTCTGGGCCAGCGTGTGCTACGCAAACGTGAGTGGCGCGACCGCGTCTCCGCTTTTGGGAAGCCGGGTCTGGCTGGGCAAGGACCTCGCCTTGAAGCTGCTGAGGGGAGAAGGAAGGGGATCGGCGCCGGGCTGCAGGAGTGCCTCCCACGAGGACACGCCAAACCCCGCCTCGACGAGTTGGGCCCCAGGCGCTCTTGTTTGCGCAAACTGGGCCTTACAGCAGCCGAGTCTTCACCAGCGTGCCAAGCTGCCCGGGGCTTGCCTACTCTCCTGCGCTGTTCCGCGTGCTTCTGTTGCGGCGCCTGCGCCTGCCTTTGCCCTTTACCGCCCGCAGCTCGCCGCCGTGCAGGCCTTTGCTGCCAGCTTGTCCACCTTGCTTGCCAACCGCACTGGCCCCGTTCTTGAAATCCTCGCCAGCTGGCTTTCGGCGCGCGGTTAGCCTGCATCCGTGTGGGGGGGGCCCCTCTTTACCAGCTGTTGTGTGATGAAAAAGGCGTGTGCAAAAGAATGTCCAACCAGCCAAGTCGAAAACTCAGATCTCGTGGAGGAACGCAGCGATGCGCCTGAGCCACTTGCGCCCGAACGTGTTTTGGTGTTCTGTCTGTCGCCCGCGCTTGGCTTCGGCGCGGCCCGCGTGGACTCGTGGAGTTAGAGTGCCGTCACACCACACCGCTTGTTCTACGGAACCAAAGTGCGTAGGGCAAAATCGCTGCAAATGCTCGGAGTGAACGAGAGCTTTGGAGGGTATGTGACACGTCCAATTCTCCAAAGACAGCCATCGAGGCATTACGCACATTCCTTGTACAGCACGAGTCACACCAGCGACTTCCCCACGCAGTTTACAAGCCGGACGGTAAACCTCCTATGTACGTGCCTGTTGCGCACGGTTTTGTCAATGTGCCCCCTGCTAAAAGACGCGGAATTCGTGTTCACCAGCGGAAACTCAGTAAGCTTGGGCGGGCTGGTCCACCGGCAGAGTAAACCTTGTGCACCAACACCCTGTGGGTGTATCCACAGATGGTACTTTTGGAGCTCCGTAATAGCACCGATGCCACTTTGCATTGCTTGAAATACTTCACCGTGCCATGATGGTTTGGTATGGACCGCTTCGATGCCCGCCTGTTGCACACATACCTCTTCAGATGCTGGGACCAGCACTTAGCCTTGACAGATACGTGACAGCCGTGACAGGCTTCAAAATGGCATCAGCTTTCCGGATGCGCTTGAGTGTCAAACGTGATACCTTATCGCTTGTGTGGATGGATATGCTGATCCAAGGCTTGCTTTGGTGAATCACACCCGTGATATCTCAAAGGCCGCGCCCATTTCGAAGGCTCAACTTGATGTCAACTCGTGCCTTTTGGTGTGCGAAGCATGCCACTCGGTCGTGTACAGTGACACCTTCGAAATCCTTTGGCAGTGTGATCATACATGGCCGCGCATTGAATGGAAGTGATGGCTTTGCTTGATTGCTTTCCATGGCCGGTGCAACTCGGAAGCCGGTGCCACATGCATACCACGTGCTTTGCATCCAAGAATGCCACTTCGCTTTACACGTGCCTGGGTAGTTGTGTCTTTTTCACTTTGGCCGGTCGTCCCGCCCCTTGTGTTTCCTTTCTCCTGGTCTTGTTGTTTGTTGGGGTTTTGTTTGGCAGTTTCTTGTTGCTGCTTTTGAAAAGGGTTGGGACGGCCGCGATGCTATTTATCTGTACATCCGACAATGGTTGCACCCTGTTTTGCTGGCCATCAGGGCGGCAAAAGAACCGTGCGTCACTAGCTGTCCAGGCAGCGGTGTGGAAGTCCTGTTGAATGAGCGAGACCCAAGTGGCAAAGTGCACATTTATCATATATAGGGTTCACAAATGAAAGGCGTTCGCACAAAAATTCACGATTCAGGGCGCGAGGAGGCTGCTGCATTCCAGCGCTGTGAGCGCCATAGGCGCCCACGATTTGCACGCGTCCCTCCGCTATCCTAGCTTCGGGATCAACATCCAACAACAAGCTAAACTACTTGAAGGGCAGCATAGACGACCCCACGCCAAGAAACTGCCGCTTTGCAAAAGCGAGACTGCAAAACAAGGACTTTGCGGGACAAGCACTTGGACAAATTCACGGTATCCAGAGTCCGCAGGGCCGCTCGGATGGCGGCGCTGGCAATCCGCTCGATCGATCCCTAAGCGACATTGGAGAACTCGTCATTAAAAAAAAAAAAAAAACTCGTCATCACCCAGCACTACTCTCAAAATTTCACCTGGTGCTGCTCCCCTGCGCGAGCGCCGGGTATTGGCAAAGAACTGCTGGCCGGGTTCCAAGACAACTCCATCACCTGCTCCTCTCCGCCCTGGACTTTCTGAGTCAGCCCAGCGCTCGGCCCCTGGACTTCCTGCCCCCGCCCTGGCCTTGCCGCGCCCAGCTGTTCCCCCCCGCCGCGCCCCGCCCCTTCGGCGCCGGCCTTCCCTGCATGCCGTGGACGCGGACGCCGTTGCTGTGCGGTGGTGTGTGGGGATTAGTTGCTGGTGACCTCTTGCGGCGGCTTGTGTCCGGCACTTGGCGCGGCAGTTTGCCGACCACTTCGATGCAGCTTGTCGCCCATACCAGTATGTGTTGTCGATCCGTTCGGGTGCACAAGCCTTGGTCCACTCCTGCCTGTTGATGGCACTGCCAAAGAGCTGTCGGGCGATTGCCCGCAACACGCTGCAAGGTCGTGGCTGGCAGGCTGTCAGCCCACGAGGCCCAAACGCCGCAGAAACGTGCAGCTCGGCGGCCTGCAGCACAAGCCCGCCTTGCTAGCTGTGACTGCCGGACGGCAATGTCCGGAAGTGCGCCTCCCCCATCCAAAAAGCATTGTCCTCAAACACCATTGCCATGCCGCATCGTGTTCCCCGGCAAAGTGGTGGGTGAGCTCTGAGTGTATGATACAAGGGGCATAATTGGACCGCGGCGACGCCCAGTACAACAACAGCAACCAAGCAACCTGCAGGTCAGGAAGGGCCGGAAGGATTCGCAGGAGGCGTAGGTTGGGCTCGCTCAAGGGAACGTCGAGCAGTTATCTCCAGCTTTGCTGCGGGGAGTTGGGAACTCCCCCGCCACACATCTGCTGCACTTATGTCCGCCAGGCCTGGCGGCTCAACTGCGGCTACGGTTTTTTTTCCGCATGCGAGTGTGAAACGCCGTGGACTAGGCCTAGGTGAAACGCGCTCTACAACCCCAGAAGCCCATCAGCCCTCGGAACCAGGCCGTTCCGCGGCGAGGCTTCTCAGCCGGGCCGCAGCGGCAGCCGGCTAACCGCCTCGGCCGCGCCATGGCGCGCGGCCGCTAGCACCTCGGGCAAGGGCGGCGCAGCACTTCTCACTCAGGTTGTGTGCGCATCCCCTTTCCCATTGGAAAGCTGACCGACGGGCAGCGCCAAGTGCAAGGACAACTACCTGCGCGAGTCGGGCCGAATGCCGCTTATATGCGTTCCTGGGCACGACGTGCGTGGCGCAGGCCCAGCGCCGAGCCGCGCCCGAAGAAGACAGGGCTGAGACAAGCGTTGACATACCCCTCCACAAAGGCAAGCCGTTGACGATGAGCTCAATGCTGGGACGGCTTGGGCTGAGCACGGACCGGACTTCGACAACAGCACAGCAGCGGATGGCGGCCCGCTGATGCCAGCATTGTTTGCACTAGCCATGCATCAAGCGCTTGTCACCCGTTCAGCGCTCCCTCGCTTTTTGGATGACTTGCACTGCGCACCCTAATTGCGCCACCGCGGGGGTCCTGGTCCGGCGCGCTTGCCCGTTCGAGCAAGCTGCGGCACGGGTCTGCTATGAGGCGGGAGCCCGGGTTGCGACCAACGTCGCCCTTCGCGACTTGAACCTGGGGGTGCCCGTTTCTGACGGGCGCCGGCTGGAGGTTGTCGCGAGGTCGCAGTTGACGTCACGCTTGTGAGCCCCCTCCGGCGTGACGGCAGCAGCCGCCCACGGGCTGACTCTGAGCCTGGCCTCGCCTTACGGGAGGCGACCGAGCGCAAGCGTCGCGCCACTCACCCCGAGTTCCAGGGGGCGCGGCGTTGCCGCCTCATCGTTTTCACTGCAGAAGTTGGCCTCCGCTGGGGAGAGGAGGCGGAGGCTTTCCTGCAGAAGCTCGCCTGTGGCCGGGCTCTCGCCAGCTCCGCGGCGCAGCGCGGCGCGGTCGCGGCCGCGTACGCGCGCAGGTGGGATGCTCGCGATTGCGGCCCAAACCGCGTTCGCGAGCAGCCTCTGCGAGCTGCCCATCGACAACGCGCTGGCCGTGTATGCTGCGCGCCGCCCGAGGGCGACGTGCTGTCCGACGCCCTGCGGGCTAGGCGGGGAAAAAACCGCTGTTTCAGGCAGCGTCCCGGTGTTTGTATGAACGTGCATGTCCCTTAATCACTCCAAAAAAAAAAAAAAAAAAAAAAAAAAAAACCGGGTGTGGAACGTAGATGTCCCGGTCTCGGATGCGCGGCGCACCGAGATCCTGGCGTTTGCGTTGCCCGTGTGGCATGGCGCTCAGGTTGCCATTGACGCCACGATGGTCAGCCCACTCGGAAGGGATGGCCAGCCCAGAGGCAGCAGTGCCAGACAAGCTGGGGCTGTGCTTGAACAAGCGGCGAGGCGAAAACGGGAGACGACTTACCCGGAGCTGCTTACGGCACGGCGGTGCCGGCTCGTCGTCTTCGGCATCGAGGTCGGCGGCCGGTGGAACGCGAGGCGCGGGATTTGCTCCGCG